ATTTTTTTTTATTTTTTTGTTATTTTATTTTGGTTAATTTTTTAAAGATGTTTTGCTTCCCCCCCCCCCCCATCTGGTTGCTTAATTGTCCAACATACATGAGTAGTTTATGTATAGTCACCCACGTGAATATATATTGAATACTTTTGTTTAAAATACCTTGTTTTTGGACTTATATTTTACCACTTCCACTCCTTGATATTTTTTTGTAATAAATTGTAATGTAAATTTAATTTATATTTATATGAATGTTTTTGTTGTTGTTAATGTACTAGTGAAGGCGTTAGCCGAAACATTTGCATTTGTTTTCTGTGTAATCATTATTAAAGCTGAACCTATATTATTTTATTTACACAAATTGTGTCTCATTAATATTATTAAACCAACATTTTTTTAAACTAGAGTAATTTCAACACAAGGCATTTCAATAAAGTGCAAAGATCAGCTGTCATATAACACAGAATTTCACAACATTGACTTCAGATACGGATTATTTTTATTTTTTTCACAGCCGGGGTAACGCAGGTAAATGTGGACAGATTAGGGAACAAATTAATTTGTATTTCTTTCGGTTCTAACTTTGACCGAAAGCATGGGCCCTTGATTGAGCTGATCTTAGGTATCTGTGATGAAGGGAGTTGTGATGTATTTTAGGTATCTGTGATGACAGTGTTTTTGATGTATCTTAAATATCTGTGATGAAGGAGGGGGGTTGTGATGTATTTTAGGTATCTGTGATGAAGGTGTTTGTGATGTATCTTAGGTATCTGTGATGAAGAAGGTTAGTGATGTATCTTAGGTATCTGTGATGACGGGGGTTGTGGTGTATGTAAGGTATCTGTGATGAAGGTGTTTTTTCATGTATCTTAGGTATCTGGGATGTTGAGGGTTATGATGTATCTTAGGTATCCGTGATGAAGGTTTTTTTAAAATTTATCTTAGCTATTGGTGATGAAGGGGGCTGCATGTATCATCTAATTTTTTCTAAAATTTTACAAATGCATTTTGCTTCAAACAGTTCTTCAAGCTAAAAATATTATTATATAAGAATGTATGTTCCTCAAAAAAAAAAAAACAAAAAAAAACAAATAGCGAAAGGTCGAAATATCAATCATCAGTATTAAAAAAACAACAACCAAAAACAAACAAAATAAAAACAAACAAAACAAATATTTAGGAAAAACAAACAGTTCTTAGAATAAGCTTTTAGGATTGATAAATTCGTATTGCTGGTTAAACCACTTATGTATTAAATCTCCATTAATGTATTTTTGTTGCTGAGTTAATAAATATTTCTCCACCCTGTTTCGAGGTCTCAAATGAAGCCGACTGTACCTGAAAGCATCTAGCGCCCCCCCCCCCCCCCCCATTTTCCATTTTTAAAGCACAAGATCGACTCCTTAAAAAAATCACTGCATGTTCCGCATCCAAGATTAACATAGCTCACAACCAAGAATGTCAACCACGACCAGCAGGCAGAACAAAAGTGACATTAGATTTTTTACAATTAAAAGAATTAAGATCGTGGTATTTATTTATTTAAAAAAAATGTATGTGGTTTTGAAGAGCTATTCATATTTTTTCATCATCATTTCCCTTAGTCCTTGGACCGTTGGGACGCCACAGATGACATGAAAACTAGCCTTCTCCATTCCTCTCTCTCTCTCTCTCTCTCTGTTTTCTGCACTTCGCACAGCATCGCCTAGTTTTAGTCCCGTCCACTCTTTGATGTTATCTTCACGTACTTTTCTCCGTCTTCCTCTTCTTCTCTCCTCTTGTGGTGCCCTGCATGATTTCTTTGACGAGCCGTTGTTTTCTTGTCACGTGGCCATACCATTCCAGATTGCGCCTTTTTAGATTCACCAGGAGGTTATCGTACTGACGAATCCTTTCTTTCACTTGTTCATTGGAAAAATGGTCTCTATAGCACATTCCAAGAATGCTTCTGAAACACCTCATTTTTTTTAAACCACTGTTAATGTCCCTTACATTGGAGAATTTTCGAATTTGGTCTTTAAAAAAAAATAATAAAAAATAAAAACGAGATAAAACAGGCCATTTGTTAAATTTTGAAGTAACTACTAACTATTAACTTCTAGGAATAATAACTTTTAACTACTAGAAATAATAACTATTAACTTCTAGGAATAATAACTTTTAACTACTAGAAATAATAACTATTAACTTCTAGGAATAATAACTTTTAACTACTAGAAATAATAACTATTAACTTCTAGGAATAATAACTTTTAACTACTAGAAATAATAACTATTAACTTCTAGGAATAATAACTTTTAACTACTAGAAATAATAACTATTAACTTCTAGGAATAATAACTTTTAACTACTAGAAATAATAACTATTAACTTCTAGGAATAATAACTTTTAACTACTAGAAATAATAACTATTAACTTCTAGGAATAATAACTTTTAACTACTAGAAATAATAACTATTAACTTCTAGGAATAATAACTTTTAACTACTAGAAATAATAACTATTAACTTCTAGGAATAATAACTTTTAACTACTAGAAATAATAACTATTAACTTCTAGGAATAATAACTTTTAACTACTAGAAATAATAACTATTAACTTCTAGGAATAATAACTTTTAACTACTAGAAATAATAACTATTAACTTCTAGGAATAATAACTTTTAACTACTAGAAATAATAACTATTAACTTCTAGGAATAATAACTTTTAACTACTAGAAATAATAACTATTAACTTCTAGGAATAATAACTTTTAACTACTAGAAATAATAACTATTAACTTCTAGGAATAATAACTTTTAACTACTAGAAATAATAACTATTAACTTCTAGGAATAATAACTTTTAACTACTAGAAATAATAACTATTAACTTCTAGGAATAATAACTTTTAACTACTAGAAATAATAACTATTAACTTCTAGGAATAATAACTTTTAACTACTAGAAATAATAACTATTAACTTCTAGGAATAATAACTTTTAACTACTAGAAATAATAACTATTAACTTCTAGGAATAATAACTTTTAACTACTAGAAATAATAACTATTAACTTCTAGGAATAATAACTTTTAACTACTAGAAATAATAACTATTAACTTCTAGGAATAATAACTTTTAACTACTAGAAATAATAACTATTAACTTCTAGGAATAATAACTTTTAACTACTAGAAATAATAACTA